CTATAGTATTATATTAAAAAAGCCACTGATGATGCAGAAATTAAGAAACTAACATTCAGTTTTGTTTTCTACTGAAGTGGCAAAAAATAAAAATAAAATAAAATAAAATAAAATAAGAAACTCACCAGGAGCTGCAGAGAAATAAATCATGGAAACAAAGCAGAAAAACTTCCATTAAAAAAAAAAAATCGTAATAATACGAGATTAAAGTCATACTACAAGAAAAAAGTCTTAATATCCTAGCCTTGAACACAGTCCAATGAAACAAGGATTTCTTAAGGAACCAGTCCTCGCCATTTTGCTAAAATTTCAAACAAAGATCCTGTGATTCTGTTCACTCTTTGGGTCTGTGTTTAGGGATTTTTGTAGCCTGGCCTTTGCCTTCCTACACAATCTTAACTCTAGTTTCCCTTCTCTGCTTTGCCTGGAATTTCTCCCATAGACATGAATTTCTCTGGAAGAATTTTAACCAATCAGCAAACAGTGGGAGGAGTTGTGAACTACGACATTGATTGTCTGCGCCTGTAGTTTAGCAATGGCAACAGAGGAAATAAATGAAGCCAGACTGTGTTGACAAGGTTTACAAATTAAGTTAAATTTGTCTCACAAAGCCTGCAGCACTAACTTACAGTCGTCTTGTTCGGCTCGGTCCTTCTCTCTTCCCAGTAGGAGATGGTTGTTTACAGCGCGCACAATTTCCAGTTAGCTTTTTAGCTTAGTTTCCTTCACAGTCGAGCTGGTGCACTGCATACATCATGGCCAAACATTAGCGATTGGGTAAAATCAGATCTAATCATTTTAAACTTCAACAGAGGCCACGCCTCCAGCAAGAAATCACTTCTCAATAGCCGAGAGTCCAGAGCCTCTGTACAAAACAAAGCGCAGAACAAGGGGCTGGTTTTAACCAGGCTTAGATTATTGGGTTTTCTAAGGTCAGATGTTTGCGGCGGCCATCTTTTACTAGGTTAACTATATTAGTTCTGTAAGTTTCAARAAAATCCACACACTGCTTCATGAGATATTTTGTTAACACACAGGCAAAGTTAATTCRAAAATTTTAGCCGTAAAGTTCACCCAAAAATTGCGTTCAACAGTTAACATTCAGAGTATAAGTTAGGGACCGCTCCATCGCTTTGTTTCTACACTCAGTTTTAGCTCAGCATCTGTAAAAACTGATTGAGTTACAAGTATTTCTGTATTATAAAAGATTGCTTTGGTGTGGCAGCCATACTGGACCCTGAAAATAAAATCCKTAAGATAAAAGAACATCTCGGCTCTTTGAGTTCAACGTGGGAGTGAATTTTGACTCAGATCTGRCTCTAGATAAACACATAAAGAAACTGGTTTCTACATGCTACTTTCAGCTTCGCAATATCTCTAAATTTCAGCCCCTACTGTYCACCTCAGACTTGGAAATAGTAGTTCACGCCTCCATTTCTAACCACATAGACTATTGTAATAGCCTGTTCACCTGCCTAAACCAGCTAAATCGCCTTCAGCTTGTCCAAAACTCAGCAGCAAGACTCCTAACTCGAACCTCCAAATTCACCCACATCTCCCCGATCCAAGCAGAACTTCACTGGCTTCCGGTTCAATTCAGAATCCAGTTCAAAATCCTGGTCCTCGCTTTCAGAGCTCTTCATGGTCAAGCAACAAACTACATTAAAAATCTCATTTCTCCTTACAACCCCAGACCTACGCTCACAGGATCAAAATCTTCCAATGGTTCCCCTAACTCGCTTTAAGACCCGTGGTGACCGGTCCGTCTCCTCTGTGGCCCCCAGGCTCTGGAATAAACTCCCTGTTAATCTGCGCTCCTTTGATAACATTGGTTCTTTTAAGAAACACCTAAAAACCAGCTTTTTTGCTCAAGCTTTTAGCTAACCATTCACCACAAATGGCAACCTACCCCTTTAGTGACTGCTTGCCAACCATGTGTTTTTGTATTATTGAACATTCAACATAATTTTCTCTCCCGCCTTCAATCTGTGTTTTTGTATTTTTGTATATATTCACCCCCTTTTTTTATTCAACAATTTTTCTTACTATGATTTGTACAGTCTTGCATACATAACACTCACGTCTTGTCATGCTCTGCCTCGACCGTGTGTCTGATGAGTTACAATTTTAGAATTTATCCTTCTACTTTTGATGTTTCATTATATTATGTTTTATTATGTTTTATTA